AAACGCCTTACTATACATGGTCGTTTTTTCGGCTAAAAACGCCTCACTATACATGGTCGTTTTTTTCGTCGAAAAACGTCTTACTATACATGGTCGTTTTTTTCGGCCAAAAACGCCTTACTATTCATGGTCGTTTTTTCGGCTAAAAACGGCTTACTATACATGGTCGTTTTTTTCGGCGAAAAACGCCTTCCTATACATGGTCGTTTTTTTCGGCGAAAAACGCCTTCCTATACATGGTCGTTTTTTTCGGCGAAAAACGCCTTCCTATACATGGTCGTTTTTTTCGGCGAAAAACGCCTTCCTATACATGGTCGTTTTTTTCGGCGAAAAACGCCTTCCTATACATGGTCGTTTTTTTCGGCGAAAAACGCCTTCCTATACATGGTCGTTTTTTTCGGCGAAAAACGCCTTCCTATACATGGTCGTTTTTTTCGGCGAAAAACGCCTTCCTATACATGGTCGTTTTTTTCGGCGAAAAACGCCTTCCTATACATGGTCGTTTTTTTCGGCGAAAAACGCCTTCCTATACATGGTCGTTTTTTTCGGCGAAAAACGCCTTCCTATACATGGTCGTTTTTTTCGGCGAAAAACGCCTTCCTATACATGGTCGTTTTTTTCGGCGAAAAACGCCTTCCTATACATGGTCGTTTTTTTCGGCGAAAAACGCCTTCCTATACATGGTCGTTTTTTTCGGCGAAAAACGCCTTCCTATACATGGTCGTTTTTTTCGGCGAAAAACGCCTTCCTATACATGGTCGTTTTTTTCGGCGAAAAACGCCTTCCTATACATGGTCGTTTTTTTCGGCGAAAAACGCCTTCCTATACATGGTCGTTTTTTTCGGCGAAAAACGCCTTCCTATACATGGTCGTTTTTTTCGGCGAAAAACGCCTTCCTATACATGGTCGTTTTTTTCGGCGAAAAACGCCTTCCTATACATGGTCGTTTTTTTCGGCGAAAAACGCCTTCCTATACATGGTCGTTTTTTTCGGCGAAAAACGCCTTCCTATACATGGTCGTTTTTTTCGGCGAAAAACGCCTTCCTATACATGGTCGTTTTTTTCGGCGAAAAACGCCTTCCTATACATGGTCGTTTTTTTCGGCGAAAAACGCCTTCCTATACATGGTCGTTTTTTTCGGCGAAAAACGCCTTCCTATACATGGTCGTTTTTTTCGGCGAAAAACGCCTTCCTATACATGGTCGTTTTTTTCGGCGAAAAACGCCTTCCTATACATGGTCGTTTTTTTGGGCTAAAAACGCCTTACTATACTATGTCGTTTTTTTCATTTCAAAACGCCTGAATATACATGGTCGTTTTTTTCAGCTAAAAACGCCTTACTATTCATGGTTCTATTTTTCGGCTAAAAATGCCTTACTATTCATGGCTTGTTGTTTTCGGCTTAAAATGCCTGACTATTCATGGTCGGTTATTTCGGCTAAAAACGCCTGACTAAAATGGTCTTTTTTTTCGGCAAAAACGCCTTACGATACATGGTTGTTTTTTTTTTCATCTAAAAACGCCTTACTATTCATGGTCGTTTTTTACGGTTAAAAACGCCTTACTATTCATGGTTCTGTTTTTTGGCTAAAAACGCCTTTTATACATGGTCGTTTTTTTCGTTTTAAAACACCTCACTATACATGGTCTTTTCTTCGGCTAAAAATGCCTTACTATTCATGGTCTTTTTTTCAGTTCAAAATGCCTTACTTCAAATGGTCGTTTTTTTCAGCAAAAAAAAACACCTAACTATACATGGTCGTTTTTTCCAGCTAAAAACGCCTTACTATACATGGTCGTTTTTTACAGCTGGAAACGCCTCACTATTCAAGGTCGTTTTCTTCGGCCAAAAACGCCTTACTATAAATGGTCTTTTTTTTTTTTTGCTGTAAAAACGCCTTACTGTAGATGGTTGTTTTTAGATGTTTAAAAACGCCTTACTATATATGGTCGTTTTTCCTGGTAAAAAATGCCTTACTATTGGTCGTTTTTTAGCTGGTAAAAACACCTTTCTATATAATTGGGGCTTCAAAGTATGGTTTGAAACTTGGTTCGGGTTTCAAGTGGAGTTTAAAATTAAGGTTGTTAGGGTTTCAAAGTACGGTTTGAATTTAGGGTTTGAAAGTCAGGTTTAAAACTAAGGTTATGACTTCAAAGTAACGTTTAAAATTATAGTCAGGGTTTCAAAGTAGGGTTTCAAACTCGGGTTGGCGTTGCACAGTTACGTTTTAATCTACGGTTCAGGCTTTCAAAGTAGGATTTTAAACTATGGTTTGGGTTTCAAACTAGGGTAAGCTTGTCAAAACTGTGTTTTTTAAACGTGGGTTAGGGATTTAGTTGCTGGTGTTCAACTAGGATTAGGGTTTCAAATTAGGATTTTCAAGGCCATACATAAACCTACCACATTGCAAATATTTGACAACAGAACCAGGCCAAAGTTATAAAAGTACTGCACTTGGAGTTACCTGCAATTTGCACGGAACCATCTTCTCCCAGGAGAATGTTTCCAGCTTTGAGATCTCTGTGGAAAGCAACACTTTTAGAGACACCTCAGCCTTCCTTCAAGTGGGATTTGAAGCAGCATTCTGTGGATTTCAGCCGTCTGCACGCGTGCAATCCCGCCAACCTCGCTTGCCGCCTCTTACCAACTCACGGTCGTCGTGGCAACAGACTCCCCCCACCCCATGTGGATGTACAAAAGGAAGCGCGGATGCAGGAGGAGAGTTGATGCACATGGCGCAGTTCTAACTGCCACCACATGGAGGCAGTAGGAGGAAAATGATTGAAAGTTCAGAGCTGGCTCAAGCGCTCACACCCTGTATTCAGACACAACTTCAGAGTCAAACGTAAACTTGGGCCATGTTTTTGCCTCCTAGTTTAATTCAGTAAACCTGCTTGTTGATTTTGTTTTTATTCCTATCATTCATTACAGCTTCGTGTTTGCTTTCAAAACTTAGCTTGTAGCAGACGTGTGCACATTTTCAGCATGACGTCTCTGATCCACTGGTCAAAGGACACTTTAATCCTCTCCCCTTTCATCTATAACTGCTTCAGACAAAGTGTATGCAGAAAAGTGGTGAAGATTGCACGACTGTCTTGTGTCCTATGTGTTGTGTTGTGTTATTTTTGTTATTTTGACTTCAAAGTGGCGCCGCGAGAGTGGCTGCCTTTCCAGCAGCTCCTATATTTTGTTGTTCTACTTCTTCCTTTCATAACTTTGCTGCTGTGAATTGGGAATTTCTCTATTGCGAGACTAATAAAGGTTTTCTTAATTAAAGAAATTCTAGGAACTGAGTTGCTCATTTCATTCACATTCAGTTGCAAAAGTGTCACTCGTCATTCCAACTTTTATCTCGCGCAGCCTTCAAGCAATCGCAGCTTTGTTCGTCAGCCAAATTCACTCAAATCAATCAATGTAATTTTTATGTCATTGTAGGTGAAGTAATCGCTAATTGTACTGTATTATATAGGACGTGTCTCTTCAACAAAAGGCTGCCATGTTTCGCCGCCATATTTTTGCTATGGATACCAGTAGAAGACAAACTTAGCGAACGCAATACAGTATCTCAAAATGATGACGACTGCGTGTGTAACACTAACAACTGTCAGGCACCGAAACCTACAAGTCGTTTGGGTTGACATTTTTCTTGAACCTCTGTTGAAAATATTGGCAGTAGGCTTGTAAAGCGCGGTCTCACCGAGGCACCGTAGTGTGTGTGCTTCAAAATACACGTGCTTGCTGCTTAGGTCGTCACATTCTCCTAAATACCACCAAGCTGTTGAAAATATATATTTTTAATCCCCTTAGGCAATTCTCTTCTCTGCTTGCTGTGATCCGTGTTTGGTGCACGAAGCACTATTTGTCACCCTTAAATAGTTTAAAAGACACCTGATTACGTTGAATCGCAATTCTAGATCCATACCAGATATGCATTGGTTCATTTTCAACATCTGTATTATACTGCCCCCTGGTGGCCATGGCCTTGACACCAAGCGAAACTGCACGACACGACTCCCGTAATGTAAAAAAAAAATTCACAACTTGCTGGTGGGTGCCGGCGAGCAGCAACCATAAAACGGGACAAATGAATAAGTGGATAAAAGCGGTTCGGGTGAAATATTAGCCAGACGGTTGCCGGGTGGCAGCAGGCATATGAAAGCATCAAGGTGATTTTTGCCGCTCATCTGGCCATAAACGCACCTGGCAACGACGCCAGGTCACCTCCTGTGACATCCCATTCCGGTGCCATACACGCTCGGTGTGGTTTTCTCTTTGTTGATATTTTCCAAAAAGATTGTAGTCCACCAGATATGTTGTCACTGTGCCGGATGTAGTTTGACATCAGCAAATTGGACTGAATGTATAATCGGAAAAGAGGAAGTTGCCACTGCCATCTAGTGGTGATTCTTTTAAGTGCAATATTCACTCGACTGCTCTCACGTGGGAAAAAGATTCCCTCGTGTAACAATTGCTTTTGTGAAAATATTCCAATCAAATATTTTTGTAATAAACCTGTCGTGTACTTAACCGTTATTAACTTACAATTATCCAGAATTTTACGATTTTATTATAATATGACAGACTTGTTTGTCAAAATATTCAGACTCATACAATTCATATTCCTTTCATATTTTGACTGTGATTTTATTTTCATTAAATTATGAAAATTTCTATTGAAATTGACTTTTTTTGCGCATTTTGTGACTTTCGTAACACTGCAACTTTTTAAAAAGTTAAATGGTGTCTTTTTTTTCCCCTCAAAGCATTTACTGACTTTTTAACAAATTGCCGTGATTTTTTTTTCTCACTTTTCCATGACTTTTATTTCTCACACATACTGTCGACTTCTGCCCCCCTCAAAGAATTTACTGACTTTTGAACAAATTGCCGTGATTTTTTTTCTCACTTTTCCACGACTTTTATTTCTCACACATACTGTCGACTTCTGCCTTTGTTTTCAAAGATTCCTGCAAAGCAACCTGGCTTGTCGTGTCTGAACGACAAGCAAAACTTGTTTTGGGCTTTCTTCCCGTGAGGTGGGTGCAGTTGACCAGCACGTGGCAAATCTGTGCAGAGGAGCGAAGAGTCTCAAAGACTTAGAGTGCATCGGGGCAAGATGGGACCTTCCGACTTGATCCAAGCCCCACCCAGCCCGGAGCGCCAGCCCTGCCCCGAGGCGCACGCTCATGTGATCCGGCTTAAACGGGACGGGAAAACGTCACTCTTACTTACTTGCTTAGCCAAAAGTTGACTTTTTGTTCCTAACATAATGAAATAATTGATTCTCATAAAAACTAAGACAGCCTATGACTTTACTCTCATAAATAGACAACTTTTTTTTGTCCTAAAATTTTTCCCTCACAAGTTTACGACTTCTCGAATGCAAACTGCCAACCGCCTGACCCAACGACAAAGCTGCGCCTTCATTTCCACGTGTGGCCCGCCGCAGACGACCGTGCGCCTGGCCGTAATGCGAAAAGGAAACAAGAAACAGGAGCGCAGAAGCTCAAGTTGAGAGGAGGTAGCGTCGAAGGCCGCCGGGTCTGCGACAGCTTGGGCGCGGGGACTTAGCCCGGTCTTGAACTGGCTTAGAGGAGAGCTTTGGGGATCGCATTTCCAGTGGCACGCAAATCCGCCATTGACACATTCCGCTCATGCATATTCATGCCTTTGAAACGAGTCATTTGTATAGCAAAGCAGACTAACAACATTTTTATTTCTTCACCTCCGTGAGCTTCCAACCCTCACTCATTTTTTTACCCCCTTATCCAATCATCCCAATTCCGGAGAGTGAAGCCATAAAAAAGCCATTTACAGCTTCATCTCCATGACATCGTTGACCTTTGGGTGGGGGGGGGCTGAGTAAATGCCACATGCTTCATATGCTCACGAGTCAGTGGGAATATCAATCAATTAACGCACACGACCGGGAAGTGGACGTCTTTTCACGGCCGCAATGGTGATCACGCTGAAAATGAAAGTCACACATTTTGACACACACATTCTGACGACATCATTTGGACTTGAGCGAGGTTGGAGTTTGTTACCGTCTCATTTTCACAACATTCCAACTTGCGGCTCATAAAATTGCTACATTGTAATGTGGTTTGTTTTTTTGTTTTTTTTTTGCCAAAATACTGCGACTGTGCTTTATTACTTTGTATCAAAATTATTTTCTCAAACTTACTTCAATTAGTTGCGTAAGATTAACATCAGGCTTTAAAAAGAAATATTGAAAAAAATTTTTTCTCTTGAACTTTTTCTCACAAGATTTTGACTTTTTTCACTCACGATGCTCTTTTTTTTTCTTACTTTATGCACAACTCTCATTTCTTGTGCACTAATCTAATTGTAACATGTAGTTGTTTCATATTTTGATGCGTTTTTATGCTTTAGAAAACATTTAGGTCTGAATTTGGGGAGGGCTTGGAACGGATTAGGGCATTTACATGGAAAACACGTCTTAACGTATTAATTTCATAAGTAGAGGTACCACTGTACTTTAACTTTTGTCGACGAATTTATCTGATCATGGCTTTTTTCCTCATGTTCTTTTCTCTTTCCTTAGAATTTTTAACCCTTTTAGGCACAGCGGTTACGACAGTGGACAGCTTACAGCATGCATAAAAGGGTTCAACTGAATTCTTGTTTTGCCCAAAATTTAGACCCCCCCCCACCCCGCCCCCGATGAAATTCTGACTTTTTCCTTCCAACCTTGCATGTTTATTCTCATGCCAACAAATCTTTCGGGTTCTCCATGCGGGCCACAATATGGGGGCGCGGCATGAAAAGCGTATTTCTTTACCTGTGTATCTGCCCGTTCTTGTGCAGGTACTCGAGGCCCTCGAGAACATCCTTCAAGACGGTGGCTATGCAGGCCTGGTCCAGGACGCCTGTTTTGTGCTCGCCTCGCGAGATGATGTGCTTGATCACATCCAGCACCGAGCCTGACCAGGAAAAGGGGAGAGGAAAGGAAAGACCCTTTAAAAATGACACCGCAAAAGAAAGCCATTTGCGCTGATGAACCAACAGGCCACACAAAAATCAAAATGCGGCGGTCCGAATCGAGCAAAATATTGGCACGGGCTCCATTGACCGTTTGAAAAGGAGAACGCGGTGAAGAGACGACCCAAAATTCAAGATGGCTTGTCAAGCAGCATCTTGCGGACCGATTCCGCTTCATATGTTTCAAGTCTTTCTGGTCTTCAAGAGAACTTCTGGAAGGCGAGGACCGCAAGGTGCCAACTGTGCTAAAAGGCCCACGACAGACGCCAAAGTTGTCGAAGTGGGGGGGGCGGGGGGTGGCTGCAGCGCAGGCCAGCTGGTCCGAGAGCACGTTGGACCAGCAGATTGCTCTGTGTATGGGACTGAATAAGTTAAGCGAGGAGTCATGATCAAATTCCCCCCCACCAACCCCCACTCAGCAGTTAGTGGGAGAAGCGAAGCGGCAAATCCACTGGCTTGTGGTAAAATTCACCAAAGTCGATGACAGTCTCGACCTGGCATCCAGCGAGAGGGCGGCGAAGGCTTCGTACTCGTTTTCTGGGAAGACATTCCTGTGCTTGCTGTGGCATGACTCATACTCTGTCCCGGCGGCTTTGTAAGACGTACGGGGAATTCAATCGGCGGTCAGATGTCGCTTTCGGAAAACAGGAATTTCCGGAAAAAGCTCTGGAGCGGCCTTACGGCAGGCCTCGAATCGAGTGTTGGCTATGGATGGATTTACCAGAGACGGCGAGAAAAGCTAAAGACAAAAGGGGGCGGGGCTATACAAAGGGAGAGAGGAGCCAAGTGCAGGGAGGACAGGCGGGTGGCCGTGGCTCACTTGATCGAGCGGGTCGGCCAGTGACCGAAGGATCGGCGGTTTGAATGCGGCCGGCCTCAGACCGTCCATTGCGCAAGTGTCCTTGAAACGACATTGGAAATGAGAAACCGCTGCGCGATAGGGCTTAGCCAATCGAATCCTTTCTCGAGAGCGGCTTCACGAGCGGTTTTGCAAAGCGGCGAGGAGAGAAAGTCAAGTCGACAATATGACACAACGTGTCGAAATGCCGCAAGCCGGTGACAACGCAAAGTCAACAGTGACATGCCACAAGCAATCGTCACGGCCTTCGGATGTTATCGAGCTTTGAAGAGCAGCATGAGGACCGGTAGGCTTTTTTTTTTTTTCTTCATGTTGCATTCCGTACAGTAGCGCCAGAGTCTCCCGCCCACCGCAATGAAAATCTGTAAACCCGACTCCGTGACAGATGCGGCCCCGGCGTTGAATTGCCACACACAATAAAAGTCAAAATCAAGAGGCCCGGCGTTTGAGCAGCTCAAGTGGAACCAGAGCGAGAGAGAAACGTGGAGAGAGGTCGGCTGGCAGGTTGCGAGCTGGCCGGCCGGCTCGTGTATTCAAGTCCCAGACAATCTATCTGGACGCTATCAGTTACATGGAGTGCAACCGGAATCATTTCATTTCAAATCGGAATTCAACATACATCTCATGCGATGAAAATCGAGTCAAAGTCGACGAATCGATGACGTCAAGGATTTTTTGTTCTCATCTGGCGACAGCAGCGGACAGGCAAACCTCTTACCGCCTGTAAATGGACCAACCGGAAGACGAAGTGCCAAACACGCGTGATTAGCCACGAGCGGACTTTGAGCTTTAATCATCAGTGCGGGGCGGCGGAAAGTCGACTAGTCAATCGACTATTCAGTTGGACTCCTGCTGTCGTTTGCCACGACAACGAAAAAAAAATAAAATAATTTGCCACGTTACAGAAAATTGTCAGGAGCCAAGTTTTTCCTTTCCAATGTTGGAATGTTACTTTAAAAAAAAAATGCCTGTCGAAAATAAAAGTGGTTAATGGAGGCTAACCGACATTAGAGGCTACACTGAAATGAACCCTTTTAGGGACAGCGGTCACTACAGTGGACAGGTTATCATGTTATCAGGTTACAAGTTATCATTTTTGGTGCGTGAAAGGGTTAAGATGGCCCCATAAAGCCACGGCCGTGGCTTTCATCATGTCTATCCCCCCGTGATTAGGAAGTGTCCACATATTTCCTGTTCGTCAAACGACTCCCATACATCCCTGGGGCGAAGGAACAACGTAATCAGACCCAGCTGCGCGGCTTTCCTTCGGCGGTGGCCTCCCGCAATGGCGGCTCCTCTCGCTGCTTAATTGCAGCTCTGCCACACGGACGCCCTCCGCGCCGAGCTCGCAGGACCGTTATTATCCCCCGGCCTGTCATTAGCTTGCGCGGCGTACGGAAGTTAAAGCAACGTTGCGGGGGGGGCGCACAATGAGGATCAGCGCCGTCACCCCCCCCGCAATCACGGCCGACAACGGCGGGAAATGAATCCCACTCGTCCTGCCGCTAGAGCGACGACGCTTTCATTTTAAGGGCTCAATAATAAAATCTGGCTTCATTTTGAACAAGAGAGCATCCTCGAAACGTGAATGCTAACAGGTTGAAGTTGTCGCCCCGGGAGGGTGATAAACCGAAGATTGACTCACCACCACTTAGCAGCTTCATGACCAGCCACAGTTCATCCTTCACCACGAAGGAGGTGTAGTAAGACACGATGTTGGGGTGATGGCACTGGCTCATGGCCTGGATCTCTTTCTGAAATGGAAGCACATGAGGATTTTTTTTTAATTAATTTAAAAAAAAAAACAATTCACAAATAAGCAGCAGTTTGGTAGAAAGTAAACAATTCTACACCCCCAAAAAACAATATAAAAACAGTTCAGTTGAAGTGTACTGTCAAACTCAACATCAAACAAATTGCTGCTAGCTTAATGCTATGGAAAAAAACAGTTTACATCGCTGCATCATGTGTTTCTTTTCAAAAGACATAATAATCAGGTTCTATTTATTTTTAATCCTGTGTGAATTTTGCGGGGCTGTGTCACCAGGATAAACATGCGAGCAAAAATGTCCGATTTTCCCGGCCCGTTGTGGTGATTTATTTTTATTCTTCGGAAGGAGATTAGCGCCTGGTGCTTGGGCCTCAGTTTCACCCTTTCATGCACCCTGTCACCTGATAACATGAGAAGCTTGCCCACTGTAGTAACCGCTGTCCCTCAAAGGGGTTAAATAGGACCGACGGTACCAGTGCAGTTATGCTGACATATTTTACGATGAGGCAATTACGGAAATGAAGTGCAATACTTGGCATGGAAATGACATCACAGGCCGGTCACTGGAACACATGTGTGCAGCAGCGAGAAAAGCTTTTATGCGGCTATTAAAATAATTAAAAAAGTGTGTGCCCTTGGAAAGTAGGGAAAGTGAGATCATGCTGAGTCACCCGTCAACACGAAGACAATTTATTTTAAAACGATGACATAAATTCAAAGACAAAGTACAGAAAAAAAGTTGGAATATGATGATGGTCACATTTTTTTATTTTTTTTATTCAAGACAAACTTGATGCCTGTATTTTCTCCCTAAAATCTATTTCTCGCGCGGCAATCAATCGCCGGTAGCCTTCGGGCTAACGAATGCTTAGCTCACACAATTCCAGCCACTCAGCCTCTTCTGCTGAGTCATCATTCCGGAGCTCCCTCCTGAGAGAGGATGAGCAAATGACGATTAAAAAGCTCAAACTCGGGACTTCATGACAAGTTGCAGACATCGAGGGCAGTGATGTCACCCATCAGAGTCTACCGGGGGGGGGAGGCAAAAAGAGATGAGCCTCCCACCCATTCCACCTGTGTTTGAACCCAAAGCATTGCCCAACTGCTCGAATATCTTCCAGTCTGGCGGGCCGGACAAACAACTCGGTGGGTTGCCTTCGCCATCTTTTCCATCTCTCGTAGGCCCACAGAGAACAATGAATGTCGCAGGCTTGGCTTGAGCCTGGAACCCCTTGCCCGTCGTCCTCGTTTCAGTGGAAGAGGCGCGACGGGTCAGCGCGGCTCGGCGGTTACAGAAGACAAACAATGGGCTAGCGGGGGAGGCAATCGTGCGCCGGCGGTTGGCAGGTTTGTTCGTCTTTTTTTCCAGTAGACAATGTGAGAACCGGGGAGGGGCTTTGTTGCAGGGATTAGGTCACTGTAAACGTATGCGGCGGTTGGGGCTTCCTGACATGAAAGCGCTCACACTGACATGCTGTCTTTTGAATGACAGTGATTCTATGAAGGAAAGGAACTTCAAAGTGGACGGTTGGAATGCTGATCAACATTCAATTTCGCTTTTCTGTGAAATGGAGGAAAAGCTTATCTCCAGGACCGGACTCGGAGAGCCCTGACCTAGCGTGGCTTTGATCCAAAAAAAAGTGAGACGGATGAAAGTATAATAATGGACATCAGATGCGCGGTGACCTTTCTCAACAAAGAAATCCCATCCCAGCAGGTGGCGGAATAAATCCCACCATTTGTGCGTGTGAGTTAAAACTACACGACCTCATCTTAACCCTTCCGTGCACCTTGTAACCTCATAACGTGAGAAGCTGTCCCCTGTAGTAACCGCTGTCCCCGAAAGAGTTAAATACACGGGCAAGAAATTTATGGTGAGCACCATAAACCCCCGGAAACCACCAGCCGTCAAACCTGACACTGAACCACCTGCGCCATAAATTGTTTTGAACTCTCCAAGGGTCACATTTTGCACAACACCGTCACTTTTACTTCACAACACTGTCGGTGTTCACCATTTAAAATGTTTGGGTAACGTGAGCCAAGTGCCATCAACTCATGCTGAAGGCAATGGAAGAGAGAACGAAATTAAGAGCGCGGGTCTCTCATCGTGATGTCTTGACTGAGTCCGATCGTTCTGCATGTGGCAGGACATCCAAGCCGAGCGACTAAATGAGCGATTGTCATGACCCCAGCCCGGCCGAGGGGGCTTGTGTCGCAAACTGGTGCCGCGGTTGCACAAGAGAAGCCACTATGCGAACAATGCGGGGTCACGGCCGACAAACATAAACATATTGTTTCACGGGGAAGGCACTCAGCGGAGTGCAGGCGTCCGTCCTCCCAGGCGGAAAAGACGATAGTGAGATTCCTGGCAAAGTCAAAAGTGGTTCATTCAGAAAAATAATGACAACATTCCCAAAGGAGCGTAACGAAATGAGCCAACAACAAAAATAAATAAAGACTTGGATCAGCGACAAAGAAAAAAAAAATTCCCGTGATATTTTCCCTTGATATTGCGACAACTTGAAATGACTTCGTGGTTCCTGCACTTACCAAGAGCTCGTCCATATTGGTCTGGCACTTCTCTAGGTTGATTCGCTTGATGGCCACCTTCTCCTTGCGCGGTGTGCAGTAGGCGGCTTGAACCACAGCTGTGGCGCCGCTCCCTGCACGAAAACCAAACAACAACAACAACACTGCCATTATGGATCAATTTAACGACAGCCGCCCCGGGGCGGGATTCGTGCGTTCTGTGGTACATAACAGGCTCGTTATTTTTACAGCTTACAAGTGTGTACACTGCAGTAATGCTGCCACCACATGAATGAATGGTTGCAAAGAATCTCAGAGGTCATCACGATCGATCTGCAGACTCGGCCACATCACAGAATTTGACTTGAGGGGGTTGCACAGTAAACCTCATTAACTGCCAGCTGCTTCCAGAGCAAAAAAAAAAAAGAGTGTTCCTGCATTCTGACTGATCGATCGTACAAGGCCCAGAGAGAGAAAAAAAAGAAGCTTTATTTGTACTTGAGTAATCAGCATTAGATCATGGGTTGGTTTCACACACCCCTCGTTGCCCCAAAAAACTGGTACAGTATCTGACTGTAAAGCAGAGAAAACAAACTATTTCTTTTGGGGGGCTGTCAAGCAGAACGTATTGTGATGCTCGTATTTTTTGCTTTTGGGACACCTCAAATAAAAAAAAAATTAAAAAATAACAAATGGGTTTTCATGACGAAATAAGAATTGACAAATATACAATCAAAAAACTTTTTTGACATGCCGTTCGTCATTCATTCCATGAACTGCATCTTTTTATCTTTTTTCACGGTCACTGCCTACCATGACACATACTGTGAACTGATTTTTAATTACGCATCAATGTTTGGGTCCGACAGGTTAGTGTTTTGCTCAAATAAAGGCAAATGAACCACAAAATAACACGGACGACAGTTCATTCATCTAATTGACTGTTAACACTTTTGAGTCGCAGTCTTTTTAAACGTTCACGACGGCATTTCACAAAATTGTAGCAAAACAAGTGTGGTGTAAAAACATTAGTCACAGTCGAAATCCACCGCCGACTGTTTATCTATTCTAACTCCTATCAACATCCCTTGTTTTAAATCCGAGATAAAATGTTTTCACTAATCACCAAAGGCCTCACAAACAGTCCCGCTCGTTGTTTGCGGGCCAGTGCGAGGTCTTTTTTTTTTACCTCGTGGCGCACACCCAGCGCTTTTTCCACTCAATCTGCGGTTTATGCGTGCGACGCCGTGAGTACATTTTCCTCTGTCGAGAAGCTTTGAGGGGCGGAAGAATGAACAGCGTGCTCGTCCACCCTCCAGTAAGCTTTTCCTAACCCCATTTTGCCCTCATCTTGGCTATGCCCAAATATTAACAAAGTGCCCCATTGTTTGGACTTCTCATTGAACCGAGAGCCGACGAAGACTTGGTAACAAGGGGAGGAGGCGTGTTGAAGACAAAATCTCTTCCCAGAGTTTAATTAGAATAGAACCGACCCCTTCCATTTCGCCGTTTCTGGCTTTGAGAGACGCTAACGAAAATACTTTTTTTTTTGCTAACGAAAATACTTTTTTTTTTTTATAGAATCTTTTTTCGAACAAGTCATAATACAATTCTCAATAAACAGAAAACAAAATGAACATGTTATTAATGCATACACATATTACAATGCTAACGAAAATACTTAACTGTACAAAGCGATTCAACATGACGCAGGTGCGTCTCGTCAAGATAATCCAATAGAATTGCAATTTCCCGACTCATTTCCGGTATGCGTCACTTCTTTGATGCTTGTCAATAACGAGGACGTAGAGGAGATTCCGGAGTCAGGAAAACACGTAGCGCAAACTTTCAGGCGTTCGTGGATGACGTCAAAGACAGCGCCTATCAATCGATCAAAGTGTTTTGCTTTCGCTCCCTCTTTTTTTTTTTTTTAAAATACACATTAGCAAAAATGTTGTGGTTTGTTCTTAAAGTTGGGTTCCACTCTTTTGTTGTTTATACATTTCTTATCCTAATTATATCAATAATAGATATCAATACAGTACTGTATCTTTATTTTCAATACACAGTATTCTGTATCCTGTGGATAGCGCGATAAAGTCAACCCACAGATGAATTTGGAATAGATTGGGAGCTTGCAGTCTTACAGTATAAGGTGTGGGGGGGGGGGGGGCATTGATTGATTGCTGACCCAGCCAAACTGAAATGCTTTCTAGTATTCGCTGCGGAAACTACAAGCGCTACCTCGCAAACCTCCCGGGGCAGGCCAGATTTAGGGGCTTTGGCTTTGGGCCTGGCTGAAAAAAAAATACACACACACACACACACACACACACACACACACACACAGGTCCAGTTGCCGACATCCCATCCCATTGGGGTGTAAATTCCTCAACACAAACAAACAGCTGGTTGTCAGGGATGGCAAGCTGGAGGAAGCGAGTGCATGTGCTCGTGCGTGTGTATTTCTATCTAAGGCAAAAAAAATAAAAAGAAACACTGTTGGCTTTGGGGCATGGATGATCAGGGGTCACACTTGAACAAGTTCAATCTGGGAGCCAGTTCAAACCAGACATTCACTCTTTGCTAGCATATTCACACTGCTCTTCCCGTGGAGTTGATTTCTTCTTCGCATGATTAGTAATATGCTTTAGAACACCATGCAGTAAAATTTTTCACAATCCCAGAGATGACCAGGAAATATAAACCAGAGCAAAATGTGATTTAAAAAAAATCAGACAAAGAGAAATATTTAAATATTCTATAGACATGTTTTTTGTTGTTAATAGCTTTTACCACACTTAATTTTTAAAAAATGTCTTTAAAGACACTTTTATAATCATACATCTAAAAAATATATTGAGAGAGAACAAGTGCAATAGCGAACACAAATATATTGGACAAACTTATTATCACACAATAGACATCAATCAGAACGTCCAAAGATGTCAATTTAAAAAAAAATTGGTCTGGTCATTGCTTTCTGTAGGCTTAAAAAGCAGGATGACAGAGGATCACTCAGTTTCAACCAAAACTAAATATAATACAGTATTTCCTGTGCCGTACTTCAGTGAAATTTACCCCATTTCAAATTAAGTGTGTCGCCATCAAATGGAGTCACACCCGAATTTTCCGAGAGTTACACCAAAATAGTGATTAACCATACAAATAAAAAAAAAAAAATATCAGCAAAATAGCATCGGGGTGAACATGGAATAGAATATTATCAAAACATTTTATTCCTTTATACCTCTAACCCACTTTTTTTTTTTTTTTTTTTTTTTGATGGAACTAGAAGCTAAAATGTTGCCAAAATCCCACCTAGTAGGAAATTAGTAACCTCGAGAGTGAGAGATGAGTTTTGGATGTCAAGGATGAGTTAAGTTTAACCTGGCTTGTTCGCAAAAGTTCTGGTGCAATTTTCCCAAGTCATTTTTTTAAGGACTGACTAAACTGACACCGTGCTGAAGCGAAATCGTTTCAGTGAAAATGATGAGGAAAAAAAATGTGACAAGGCAAGTTAAGCTGACAGGCTGCCAGCAGTCATAAATCATTGTTCACGGGCTTTGTTCGTAAAACGATTGAGGGGGAAGAAGCGGAAAGACCAGCTGAGCAAGTCTGTGATGGATGATTCCTTGAAATCCATCAAACCGTCAGAGTCCTCCGCCGCCTCCCCTTCCAATAGTGTCTTTTTGCCGTGACATCTTTGTGGCTAACTGAGAAGCGTGTTGCAAATTTTGCCGCTTTGGACAGAAGAAAAAGCGGCGGAACTGAACAACTGTCAGATGCTATCCAATTGCCTCGCCGTGGTTGGCGTTGGCGACGGGAGCAAGCAGGCATCGCTCCAAACTTCGTGCCTGCTACTTGATGAGGCACAAGACGACTTAATCCTTGATCGTAAAAAATGATCGGGGGCCAAGCAATTGGTCTTAAAACTGAGCAATAGAACAGAGTTGTGAAAGAAAAAAAAATGACATTGACCAGACTGCGAGCTAGGAGATTTTGGTCCGACGCCAGCGATTCGCACGCGTGTTGATACACCGTTTGTATTGAAATATTCCATCGTGACGACACTGCTACATCGATGCTATTTGTTAGCCCAACTAGCAATAGCATCTTAGCAATAAGTTTGTATTGTAACATTCCATCGTGACGACACTGCTACATCGATGCTATTTGTTAGCCCAACTAGCAATAGCATCTTAGCAATAAGTTTGTTTTGAAATATTCCATTGTGACGACACTGCTACATCGATGCTATTCGTTAGCCCAACTAGCAATAGCATCTTAGCAATAAGTTTGTATTGTAACATTCCATCGTGACGACACTGCTACATCGATGCTATTTGTTAGCCCAACTAGCGATAGCATCTTAGAAATAAGCTAAGCTATGGCAAAGCTTTGCAGTTGATTTCCCCAAACACGACCATATCATTCATTTTGTTTTGTTTGGATTGATAGTCGACTTGTGACCGTGACTAATGATATCTGATGTATCAATATTGTATCCATGTGCCGCTGTCATGTTCGTGGAACTTATTTTTTTTTTCTCCTCCAGGCTCCATTTGTTTCCATCACAGCCTTGACATAAATACCAGCCATGTATACAGTATACCTTCAGACGGACTTTCACAAAACACCATTTTCTAAGTCAAGCGTCCAACCTGAGACGGCGTCCGCCGCTTTGGACGGCGTGAGAAAGAAAAAGCGGACACATTGACAAAACAAGCATGCTCTTTGCAAGATTATGCCGCGTGTTTTCTGTAAGCATATTTCTTGACTAGCCATGTTAACCGCTGTTGCTAGAACGCTTCCAATGTGCGAATGTGACATTGTGACAAGAAGCTCTTCTCATCGTGACGTAAACGTTTAAGCCCCACGTGCGCCAATTACCGGTTCCTAATTGGGTGGCTATGATTGTTTCATGTATGAGACTCTCAACTTTTTAAAATTAAACGACATAGTTTTTGATATCCTTTTCTCTAAGGTCAGTTGCATGCCAACATCGTTGGATAAAAAGGTCCAGGAGAACCAAAACAACGTTGCTAAATTGACTGAAGCGGTTTGAAAACACAAGGAGGTGATTCCGATGACTAATGAAAAGTCGCACGCGGGTCAACTGGAGTTCATTTAGTGCAAACGGCACATTATCAGATTAGCATGGCCTTGAATTAGCTCCTTAATGGCGAAGGTATGCGAGGGCCGCGTCGATGTCTTACTTCGCCGCCTGACTTGCAATCAGTGTGGAGAAAAAAAAAAAAAAAAACGTCAAGGAAAATTATCGATCGATTACAGTTAACGCTCTTTAGGAAAAAAAGGCAAATTAATATGATTAAATATCAGATTTTTTTCAATGCATAAACATGTTGCAGAAAATGTAAAATATTTCTAAAACGGAATCATTTAGTTGTGATTCCTCCCTCCGCAATATTGCGATTATTTATTTTACAATGAACAATATCAGATTTGAGTACAATTAATTGTTCAGCTCTACTGTAAGAAAAATTACAAATAAATGTAAACAAAATCAGTGATGTTCTAAGGAAACACTGTCAAAAGCACAGCACGGTTTGCGTACCCTGACACTGACACTTTAGCTTTGTGACTGTGTCATCGCCGGGTCATTAACAGCATTCAATGGCGCGCTTGTCGCCATTCACCCCCGCGCCCCCATCACTCTCCCCCCCTCCTCAAATACACCATCAGCCAAGGGAGGCAATATATAGCAAATGAATGCACCCCTGTTAGAAAACAACTTTGACTCCACTTTTGTAAACTAGGGCAAGATGAGAAATTATGCTGACGTATAAAAATAGCACCAAATCGATAAAAATCGAGCAATTGTTAGTCGTTCATTTTGTTATTGGACACATGCTCGGAGGTGATGACCAGGTAAGGTTTGCACCGGTGTGCCACACACACCTTTATGTTCTTAGCAAAGTGGGGCAAAGCGAGGGTAGGGTCACTTATCTGAAGGGCGGGACAAGAGCAAGGCTGCAACTGTGTGTGTGTGTGAGCAACGTGTTTGATCTTTTTCATGAAAGAAATCTATTTTTGCAATTCAAATTGGCATCAACTGAAAAGTGTAGCGCATTTTTGTTTAATAGAGATATTCATTTCGTGTATTTGCACATTTTGATAAAAATTTGCATGCAATGCAGCAACTCAAACTATTCTCAAACTAAAAGTAGTAGCTGTTGAGTTTTTAATCGTTTACAACACAGGTGTCAAAGTCAAGGCCACATGTGGCCCGTAGCATCATTTGATGTGGCCCGTGAAGGCAAATCGTGTGTCCGCTTCATGTTTCTGGCTAATTAATTGCCTTCATTTTTAACTACACAAAGATATGACATACTGCAAGATTTTTTTTTTGTTGAAAATCACTGAAAAACATTGGCTTCTGATTTCAGCTACCCATCAATTTGTTGTGTATATGTGATCATTGAAGTTGATCATACGTTCACAGTCGCAACTGCCCTCCGAGGGAAACCAGAACTACAATGTGGCCCATGCCAAGAATGCGTCTGACATGGTTTGAATAATGCATTTCCACTGTTTTAAATAAACCAAATGTTTGGCAAAGCAACAATTCGCAAATCGAGTATTTGAGCAATTAATATATATATATATATATATAATTCAAATGATCGTTAAATGAAGAGTATAGCTGTGAAATGTAAAATTACTAAATACATTAATTTACAATATTCTTTTCACCATTTTTCTACATGTAGGATTTTGGGGGAAATGCTGAGATTCTGATGATTATCTAGTTAAAAATATCAGCAGTTGCAAGTGATTTTAAAGCCTTGACGAAACAATCTGGCTCGAGAGTGAAACTTCATTCGGGCTGTGATTATGACTAAACATGCTTTCTTGCTGCAAAATTGTCTTTAGCCATGACACACACCGTTCAGGCTCAAACGCTCGTTTCAATACGCCGGCATATCCCCAATGGGCGGGGTTGTCTTTCTCAGTGGAAACATTCCACATACGTGAAGTTCTAAGAACACCTGGCAAGAACTGTCCCCCAATTTAAGTCACCCTGCCTTTGGCTCGGAGGGGTAAAGGAAGATGCTTGAAAGATTAAAACAAGATAAAAGGGTTTGTATTAGCATTCAGCAAGCGTGTCTATTCACAGATCATCAGGCCGAAGGAAAGCTAGATAGCAGTAACATCACATACCAATCACCTCGTGTAGCTCGTAGTCATCTTTGTTGATGGACCACGGTTGGGAGCTCAAGTCCTCCGACATGGCTGAGGACGTATGTGCAATTTGAGCCCGTCAAAGAAAAAGTGTGGGTGCCGCAGGCAGAACGTCTGGGGGTGAAAAAAAATTAGACAAGTCCCAGGCAATCCAAAGAGCTGCAACAGGGGCGACACTTTGCCTTCTTCGCGAATCCTGCGGCACTCGTGCTGTCATTGCCAAAGTTTGACACAAGGCTCGCGGCCCCGCCTACCGCATTCCTCCTCGGCAAATGTGAACTCCCTCCGCGGACATGTTGGTTGTGGTCACCGAGCAACTACGGTACCGGCATTGGGTCACAAATGGGAACAGAGTCGCGCCACATTTTACACACTCCTCATACTCATTCCTTAATAATTTCAATACAACATACAGATGTACTATTTAGCTCGTCACCACGACTGAAGCGCAAACGGCAACCCAAAGTGAGGGCAAACCCGGAAACGAAAGGACGGCGTTTACTGGAGTTTTGATTGGACAATGTCCCACGGCGTCGCGTTGTGATTGGATGTTGATTAATGTCGTACAGGAAATGTTTCGTGCCGCGTTCAATGGCGACACCACTGGTGGCGGCTGAAATAACAAGCAATATTTGCTCCATAACGACACATAATGGACGGTTTGTAAAATGTGTTGCATTCATTTAGGCGATTTTCTTGAAAATCAATTGATAAAATGTTTTTTTTTTTCATTCATTTAATCAACTATTTCGTTATGTGATTTATTGTACAGAAAAAAAGTTAGATTTTTGCAATGTGCCAAATAACTGGCAAATCAGTTAAAATGTCAATATGAAAATTTAAAAAATTAATTCTATTAAAATCTACACGGTTCACTGCGGGTTTTTACATGTGCCAATATGAAAACTGTACCTATTGAAGTAATCAAGAATATTTTTGCAGATTTGGTATTTCTTCATTTATCTCATAAAATAATCGGTTGGCTGATCAAATGTACACAACAAAAATAGTAAAATATTTATTGAAAAAATTCAAATAGCATCCAAAAACACGTATAACCAGAACATGAGATGGAGAGGCACAAGCAAGAAATGAGAAAGGCAGTCAGTCAATTGTAGAAGTGTCCTGCATATACATTTACACTTCTCCTTTCGCTGAAATCTCATACTGACAAAGAGGAAGGATAAAAGTAAACACGGAACTTTGCAGTCTTCAACACTTGCAAAAATATCTTTGTGAACTGTGGTTTTCATCATAACAATCATAAAATACATTCTAAATGACATAAAACAGTTTTTAACTCCAGTCACTCCCGTGTTATGGTTCAGAATGACATAATTTCTTCACTACTTACGTTACATTTAGTTTTGTTTTGGGTCCCGATAGTTTCTTTATAGTTGATGGAATTATAGAAAAACACTTCTCAAAACTTGCTTACAACAGTCACAACTACGGCAGAGAAAGAGCTTTAGCCAGTCGTTCCCAAAACCAGGTCTGCGTGTACGGATTTGTGTAGTCGCACACGGTCAGGAAGCTTAGGATCCTTGGGAACTGTTTTGTCATCGACTTGTAAACAACAGGGATGAGTCGTTTAGTCCGAGCTCCTGTCATGACAGAAGGACACAAAAAGTTTAGTTGTCACACATAAAGTAAAATCGGCTAACGTCAATATAATCTTACTTTGAAATGAAACAAGAAAGAAAGCACAATGAATCCTTACATGCAAGATCTGTAAGTTTATACACGTGTTGGTAAGATTTCAACTCATATTGAATGAATTATTAGCATGTTGCTAACAACGTGTACATACTTGCTCACGCAATTGGGGTGTTGGTATGACATTCTGAGTTGCTGACAGAATGTTATTTTGTGTGATTTACATCCATGAATGTAATGTCTGAAAGTATCTTTATAAATATATGTAAATAAGATTTATATTCAGGTTTAGAATGCCAGAGATGGAAGGAATGGTCCATCCGTCTGTCCATCCAGGACGGATGCCCATTTTTGGGACAGAGGACGAGAATTTCTTTTTTTTAAATGGACGAATTAAGAAATGACAGAAGTCAGTTTTCGTCCCTAACCAGGTTAAGTATGTGGTGTCGGAGGCAAAATAACGCCAGAGTGTCGCCAAACACGGTAGTTTGTCAACGGGTTAGGTCATCTCAAATGTATTTTTATAGCAACACTGCCACCTAGTGGACAGTCAGAGAACATAAAGTCCCTACGGACACCCGTTTCACTAACGATCAATCCAGCCGCTGAAAGGAGCTACGGACAGGGACGTAGGACGATTATTTTATGAATAAGGACGGAGGGACGATAATAGAAAGGTACCCAGGTCGCGGAAGAGGACGGACGGGAAAAATAGGGTCAAGTGTCCATTTCTGTAAAGTGCATTGCACATCGTGTTAACAAGTATAAAAATATATCTATAATCCAATTCTTAAAATATCAGAATTGGCAGCTGCCTCAAAAAAAATCTCTATCGATCGAGTTCTACTTGTTAAGTCAATGTACCAAAAAAAAAAAAAAAATTACCAGGAGAGAGGCTGAGTGCAAACTTAGTCTGGAAGTCACATGCGTCACTTTCAATGTATTCATCTGAGATCACAACCACCATCCTCTTACACCTGCACACATAAACAACACAGTGTAAGCCAGAAAAAGTCTAAAAAAAACTAATGACAAAAACATATATAATGATGCATTATTATCTCACCTCTTCTCAATGAGCTCGCTAGTGATGGTCCACACGCACGATCCGGGCAGGACGTTGCGGTCGAACACGCAAAGTTTCAGCCGGTGGTCCGTCTGCTCCAGCTCTCGGATCATCTCATGCACGAACGTGATATCGCTCTTGCAGTAACAAATGAAAGCGTCGAACAGCTCGGGAGAACCTGGAGACAAGGCAGAACAGAGGTTTACAAACGTTTTGGATCGTCTGAATAATTTATCGAATTATGTCATGCTTTAAAAATATATTTTAGGCTTTGATGATTCTTTTTTAAGCGTTCACTAACCATCCGGATTATCCTCCAGAGTTAGGCCGGACCCCTGGGGTGTACGAGGGATGCAGCTGTCCACCTCAGGGACCTGCAGGGGGCGAACGGCTCTTTTCTTCAAACTCTCGTAATACTTTCTCACATCCTCCTCTGGGGGGGAATACAGTACAGACAGAAAAGATAGTTAACTCCCCCCTCCATCACGTTCCCTTTTGTTGCCCTTCGGTGTTCAATTTGGGTGTGAACCTACTGTTGGCCACTACAGGGTGACACAATATTATGTTTAACATTGTAAATTATGAAGAAGAGAGAAAACAGGAAGTCTTTCAAACATTTTGCTAAAGATTATTTAGCCGTCCATTTAATTGATGTATATATTTTAAATGTATATTTTTAGTAATATTTATGAATTAAGAGTTGGATTCAGCAACAAGTGGATTTTTTTTTTCTGAAAACTCATAGCTATAAATTACAACAGATGGTAAAATCCGTATGGGGGAAAGCTTTTATCGGTCAAATATGTCAAAAACCTGATGTGCTAGAAAAAAAAAACAATAACAATTAGGGACACAAAGCCATCTGATTACAATTAGCTGTTTACCAGTGTCATTGGATGTAATGTAAATACGAATGTAATAATAAATACTTCGTGAAGTTCACCTTTTGCAGGGATGGCCTGGGCACGTCAGCCCCGCGATGGAGGGTAGTTTACTGTCCTTCTATTTTTTTGACAACGTTTTACCCCCCCCCCCCACACACCTTTGAAAACAGATGCCATGTCACATCCAAATCAACTTGTTGTAACATTCGTCAACTTTTGCAGGCATACTGTACACGGAGGTCAAGTCAACCGCGTATGGCGGAAGTCGTAACTGTATTGGTACGTACTTTCGATTGGAAACAAACAGGAAGTGGCTCCTAAAGCTAACGGGATAGTCAAAAAAAGTGTACCCATTAGAGGACGAAGATCCTCCACGACGTCGTTCCGTTCCACTTCCTCCAAGATGGATAACAACTTGCCTACGGTGGCTTCGCTCGAGCTCGCCTGCCAGTCATCCAAGACCCGCTTCGTGGGGTTGGGGACCTGCTGGTAGTTGACGATCTCCAGGTAAGAGAAGCCCATGGCCTCGGCTACCATCGTCCAGTCGGCGGCCACCATGGTGCGGGGGTTCAAGTAAAGGCTCAGTTTCTTCCTGATGGTCATATTGAGGGCGACCAGAGGGACGGCGGACAAGTCCGCCGGGCAGCAGCTTGCCATGTTTCTTGACTTTCTTTTTTTCCTTTTTTTTTTTAACCACTGCAACTTTGCGCAACGTACCTGCTGGGAAGTGCGTCACGCGTGGGCGGAACCACGAGGCACTCTTCGACAGTCTCTCACTGGCGATGTTTCTTAATAGTTTCCCCCGTTCATGTTGTTCAAGGGGACTAAACTAACATCCAAACGCTTTACATTTGTGTGTATAAACCAAATACTAAACTGTTGTCAAAGCTTATCAAACGTTATAATTTATCAATGTGCTGTGTGTCAATAATTTCAACGAGTCATAACGAGAGTCATTGCTAATATTTTGACTCCTTTGTTGAATACTTATAATGCATTGATACAATAAAAATGATTAATTTGAATTTAGAATAACCCATTTCATACGTTTTACATACGCATCTTAGCTATTTCTTTTATCTCCTCTACAAATAATCTGTCTGTTTGAAAAGTGAAAATCGGTCCCTTGAGCTCCAAAGCCTTCCTGCCGTCTGTGTTGCTTTGCTTCCTTCATGCAGTTTTGTTTTCTTCTAACTGTGGAACTTCCTCAAATCATCTCCCGGACCTTTCGTCCCACGTGAACATATTTCCTATCATCGCCGGCTGCACAGATGGGTGACGGAAAAATATGATTGAAAGAAAAAAATTAAGAAAACAAACCCCTCCCTGGATTACAGCGCCATTTAATATGTAAGAAAACCAGTTTGACGAGGAGCATAACTTAAAACAGTTCAGTGTAACAGAAGAAGGCAAAGCAAAGTTGGCGTTGTGGCTGGTTTTGATCCAAGCTCACAAGTTTTTGCTTCTGGAAAAATAGAAATCAACGCCTCTGTCGCGATGCTGTTTGGGGTTGTGAGACGGACCTTTTCTGCCTCTTGGGTACGGCCCGGTATCGTTCTGTCAAACAACAAAAGCGAGTCAACAAGCTATCAAACAAACTTTGTTGAATAAAAGGCTTTAAAAATCACATTTGAGTCAATCTTATTGTGTTGTGTGGCAAGAAAGCGAAGATGTAGACTGATACGTTAGCATCTCCGGCTAGTAGAAGACTGCTAGTTGTCATGATTGTACACATTTTGGTTATACAGTGAACGCCGGCCATTCACGGTGGATAGTTACCGTGTCCTACCGCAAATAGCAAAAAAATCCACAATTATCTGCCGGCACCTGCCAAAATATATTTTTAATTTGAACATCTAATCATCGAGAAGGTACAAAATCGTGAAACCATGTGACATAAACAACTGTAAATTACTCAACAGAAATGCGGGTCAGCAGAAGTATTAGCAAACATACTAGCTTAAGTAGCATACTTTTGACAGTGTACATGTGGATTCAAAAACTGCCACCAAATCATACCATTTCCAATACAAACGAATAAACGCCATCCATGAACTAAATCTAACAACAAAACCAAAATTCCATTAGATGGCGCCCAAGTAATAATTCTATTGCGTCGGCTTGAGCACAAAAACAGAACGAGACGCAATGAGATTTTCTTACCTGTTTCTTGCCAATGTGTCGGCTCCATTCGGGCGCCACGACGACAGGGATGGGGTAAGCGTCACCCAGGACGACGTCTGCGTGTGACAGCGCCGCCTTGCTGAGGGTCCACGGCGTGTGTACGTCAGCCCCCCGGATTTTCTGCAGTTCGGGGAGCCAGAGCCGCACGTAGTCGCCCTAAGGTTTGGGATACCGGCAACAACAGGAATAATAATGATTCAGTGAACCCCTGTTAATTGTGAGGGATGCATTTGAAAATACAGTGATTGTACATCATCTTCATGTGAATGTGAATCACCCAGAAAAAGTGTTCACCGGTCAGGCGATCGCTCACAATAATAATAATAATAATAATAATGCATTTTATTTAAAAGCGCCTTTCATGCCACCCAAGGACACTGTACAGACAATAAAAAAATACAATGTAAAAATTGTTAAGCAAGATATTATAAAACAAGACATAAAATCATAAGATATAGGAGATGGAAGGGCTATGTATTATAAGCAATCCTGAACAAGTGTGTTTTTAGACGGGACTTGAAAGTGGAGAGAGGTGTGCAGTTTTGAAGGTCCGGAGGTAGATTGTTCCAAAGCTTTGGGGCAGCGTGACTGAAGGCTCTGGCTCCCATGGTGCTCAGGCGGGCAGGAGGCACTGACAGGCGGAGGGAAGACGAGGATCTGAGGGAGCGAGTGGGGGTATGCACCTGGAGAAGGTCGGACGGGTAGGGAGGGGCCAGGTTGTGAATGGCCATATATGTATAAAGGAGCAGTTTGTAGTTGATGCGATGTTGAACAGGGAGCCAGTGAAGCTGTTGGAGAACGGGGGGGATGTGCTGCTGGGAGGATGTTTTTGTGATGATGCGAGCGGAGGCGTTTTGAACCAGCTGGATTTTATGGAGGGACTTTTGAGGTAGGCCGAAGAGGAGAGCGTTACAGTAATCAAGGCGGGATGTGACAAGACTGTGGACCAGAATGGCAGTGGTACGGGGGGTGAGGGAAGGGCGAAGTCTGGTAACGTTGCGGAGGTGGAAATAGGCAGTGCGGGTGATGGTGTTGATATGTGAGTGGAAGGTGAGCATGCTATCCAGGA